TTGTTGTTTTGTTCTAAAACTAAACAACATATAATATGTGAGACATAGATTAATATCATGAAAAGAAGTTTTTCTTTTTTGAATATTTAGATATGAGTGCAGCTGCAGGATTTATCATATTTCGACAAGTCGAACAAAAGCCTATTGAATATTTATTATTACAAACTTCTTATGGTGAACATCATTGGACACCACCAAAAGGTTAGAATTTAAAAATATGATTGAAACTGAAGTTTGAATTGTTGTTGAATGACGACAGACAAAAAAAGACCTATAGTTCACATGAAGAATTATGCTTTCACACAAGATAGATCATTGCTATTGTTAACAATGGAACTTTCCTACATTCTGATTTCAATGACTTTTTGCCTATAGGTACTAAATAATGGTCTAATGAAAACTCTAAATTAGATTTGGGATCTAGGGCAACGTCTGTATATGAAAAGTTCAAATGGAAATCGTTTCAAGGCAAAACTTAGTAGGAAATTTTATCGATTTGGGTTTCTCATTAGAATACTATGTAGTATCTATAAGCAAAAACTCCTTCGAACCGAAACGAGGCATTTGAGAAGTTTGCATAGATAGATAGATTTCATAATTGTTCATTCAAATTTTTCGCGTTTAGAACTCCATTGGAAGTCACATCTGCTCATTTTCGGGTGTTTTTTGCAGAGCAAAAATCAAAAAACATTTCGTAAGGGAGGGGCGATCGCGCTTCTAAATTCATCACTGGGTAGAAGCACTGTTTGGATGCACCATATTATGTTACTTATATTCGACATACGATCTGTCGATGTTGTATTAAATAAATCGGTCGTAGTTATCAGGTTACTCTTCGATAGGTCGTCCCGACCTAACTTAGAATAATACTATTAAAGTACATTTCTTTAGTAAAAAGGATTTCTAAGTGATGGAACTCCGCAACTGCTCAGTTACTGATGAGAACATTGTAAAAATTTTATCATCATAGTGACCAGGAGTTTAGTAAGGTTGGACAATTTTAATGTTTGAGAAACTAGCATAAGCGATAAATCGAATTAGTCATTGAACCGAAGGAGCATGATGAGTTTGTCAGTACTGAAACTTCTTGAAGTTTATCATGTATTAATATAAGATCTTACGAGTAACATGCTCCCTGATCAATTTCAAGCATTCAGATCGATTACTATTTTTAGTTACATTGTTCCAGGTCAGTAAAACCTTTGCCATTTAATCCATTTAATAGTCTATTCGAGCTTGTGTGTAGATGAAGAGTGTCATTGAACCGAGTAATTGCGCCGTTTTTATTTATTGACTAAATGAAACGTTTCAAAGCGTTCACATAATAATGATTTCTGATTGTTACAGGTTGCAAAAGGCATAAGTCAAATAACCAGTTTTGATGAAAATCAGAATAATATCGATTAAACTGGTACTATTTAATTCTGACTTTTCAGCTTTAAAGATAGATTTCAATTTTCTGTTTTCTTACGTGCAAAATCTATCTTGAAAAAAGGAATAAAGTCCGGATTTCTAGCACTATACTTATACGCTCTTTTCAGGTTGTGTTCTATCTTTTGGGTCAAATTTCAAAATCAAAAATTCAGTAAAACGATCATAATTTGGCTTCAGAGATTCATGAGCAAGAAGTTCTTTAGGATTTTTTCTTGTTTCTCAGAAATCTTTGTGAGTTCTATATGAGTGCCAAACGGAGGATATCAGTTTGGGTAGTTCTGTCGTTAGCTTGACTATTCCAAGTTATACTAATCATTTGTCTCGATCATTGTGATTGATTCTAAAAAACTATTTCCGATTGACATTTTCTAACTTTCAAATTAATCTATATTTACTTTGATTAGGTCATTTGGATAATGATGAATCACCATTACAAGCAGCTGAACGTGAAACAAAAGAAGAAGCTGGTTTAGATAAAAATGATTTAGAATATTATGATAAATTCGAAGAAAAAATAACATATAATGTGAATGGAAAACCAAAAGATGTTTATTATTATTTAGCACGTCTTAAGAATGCTCAACAAAAAATACATTTATCTGATGAACATCAAGATTTAAGTTGGTCAAATTTAAATGATTCATGTAATTTAGTTAAACATGAAAATTTACAAAATATACTTCGAAAAGCTGAAGAATTTATTAAAAAATAATTTCGAATAAATTTATACTGTGATGTTTTGTTTCAGTTTTATAACTTTTTCTAGATGAGTCTAACATCTATGTTTGATCGAATTTGTTCAAGTAATGTTGTTATTGCTTCACAACAACGTAATGAACCAGATTTTACATATGAACAAAAACATGAAATTCTTAACCATTTATATGAAACAAATCCAGCTAATTTTATATATCGTTTTGGTTCATTATTAACTGATGATGAAATAAAACAAAATTTTGATTCAAATGCTGATTACATATGTCAAATATTACATTCAAATCGTCATAAACTACGTGCTAATCGTCGTTATACATATATGCAACAATTACTTGCTGATGGTTCATATTTTAGTGATGAAGCCATGAAAGAACGATCACCATTACTATATGAACAAATGATTGAAAAATATAGGGGTGATGAAACAAATCAATTAGTCACTAGAACAGCAAATGGTCCATTAGCTGATTTTTATATGGAACATCTTGAAGCAATTAATCATCAAGAAAGAGTTGAAAAAGAATATGAAAATGAAGAACATTTACGTCATGATGATGATAATGATAGTGAAAGTGATGATGAAAATAATGAAGAAAATGAAAAAAAATATTCAAGTACAGAAAGAAATTTATATCGACAAGAATTTCTTGCTATTCAAAAAGGTGAACATGATTGTATTTTAATCATTTTTCTAATGTATAAAGATATATTAGAAGACGTACGAACTCTTACTTTCTAGAGTTTCTCAGTAACAACTCGACGAAAAATGATAAAAATTTTAAAGCAGATAGATCTTGACAAATACACCATTAGTTGTCGTAGGCTTAAAATTCTCAGATACTTTCTTCAGGGGGATATGGGGATCACAAAGGTCAAAAATGGCCAAAGGTTTTCCTTTCCGCAAAACTATGTATTTCAGTTTTTCGAGCTGTACTTTTTCAATCACAACTAGGATCAAGTCGAAGTGCACGTTTGTTTTTTCAATCTTACGAATTTTTTAAAGGCTATGGCAGTTCACAGGAATAATATTTTGAAGAAATGAAACATCCATCTTAAGATGACCAAAATATTTTAAAAAAACTTGAGCGCGATCAGACATACCGTATCGAAGAAAGCGTTGCTTGTTTTGTTCAAAACTTGATTTTAAGAAAAACGCAAAACAAATTTTCTCGTATTGATTAAGACTTTTTTTCTCCAATTAAAATAATCTAAAACTAGCGATGTTAGAGGCTCATGACTCATACTTTCAGCATCTTTAGAACAAGAAAGTACTCATTGTCATTAGAAGAATTTTGTATACAAACAGTAATTGCAGCGCGCTTTTTCTATGAAAGATTCCGAGAGTTGGGCTTAATGTAAGTACTAATTAATAACGGAAACTCGTCATTTATATGGCACTTGGTAAAGGACAGTTCAAAGCTATATTAGCAATGAAGAACCAATCTTTACTTTTGTACCGCCTCACTGGTGACTGGAGTGGCGATTTGTAGATCAATAATAAAAAACTAAATGGTACATATCGCTTCATGTCCAAAATATTGAACTCGAAAAATCGATGATTACAGAAAAATGAAAAAAAATTGAATCTTTTTTTAAGAAAATATTTTCTAACTTTCAAGCAATATAGATCTTTGGTATATAGATCAGCAAGAAACCAAATTTATCCGTTTTACATTTATGCTGACACATCTTTTCAAGCTATAAGAATATTTTAATACTCTTAATCTCATTAGTCTTTTTAATGTGTAAATAGGTGTGAGTGTGCATATCTTTATCATGCTCACTTATCCATACTCCAATCTCACGGACTCCTTTCCTCATTACATGAGAAGTTTAAGTAACATCTATTATGAGTAAAGTATTTTCAGTAGTTATACAATGCCTTAAAGAAAACTTGATGATCGTTTGACAAGGTTCTTTTTCTCATAACTTCAATATCATAAGATACAAGCTGCAGTAGTTTGATACTTAACTGGTAGCCCATCCTTTGACCATTATTGTATCGCGACATACCAGCAGTTGTGCGAAGTAACGTGTAACATGGATTCAGTTATAAAAGAAAAGAAATCAATGTTCCTTATGTCTTACTATTCCTTTTCTACTCCATTGACACTGGAGTAACTAAAACTATCGATCGCGAGCAGTAGAATATCTGATGAATCTGATCATAGCATTGGTATATTAGAGAAACTAATAGTCTCTTTATAGGATCATTTTATCAGTAGTTGGTCTGACAGCTTACGTATTAGATTAAGGTATATTTCAAAACTCATGAACATGAGTTACATAAATAAATACTTATTACAAAAACGATATCGCAATGTTTCTTAATTTATTCTAACAATTATTTTTTTTTTGTTTTAGAGAGATTTCTTAATGGTGAAGATTCTAATATTGATTATACATCAATTGATAATAATGAAAATCTTGACGATATTAAAATACGTGAACGTGATGAAGAAGAAAAATATTTTGATGATGAAGATCCTTATTCATATACTAATGGAGAACAATAATAATTATTGTTGAGCAAGAAAGACAAATATCTATTGATTATTCATGCCAAATGTCTTTCAAAGTTTTGATGAGATTTATCAGACTATTCAGCTCGATGAGAAAAGTTCACTTTGTTTAAAAAAAAAAATGATGAATCGAATTATGATGAAAAATCAATTTCTTGAATGACAAAATCAATGAACTTTAGATCGAGTTTAACTGTAGAATGTATATATCATTTTCAAGTTGATATCATTATTCAAGAACTTAAAATTTATATTTTCAGTAAAAAAACAAATATTCATTCGTATTGTTTCAGATATTTGTTTTTTCTATATTATAAATAAAACATAATGGTCGAATTACTACTCGATTCAGCTATTCGATTTTGGGTATTTATGCCAATTGTTGTCATTACATTTTTTGTTGGTATGCTACGACATTATATTTCAATAATAACAGCTGGCGAAAAACCTATTGACAAGCAACAATTAGCTGATAGGTAATATCTTGTCTCTTGTTTTTATCAATAATTCTTTTAAAAAATTTTTTATTTTTCTTATGTATATTTTAGTCAAGCACTTATTCGAACAAGAATCTTACGTGAAAATGGAAAATATATTCCAAAAGAGGTTTGCTTTAATTTCGAATAGATTTTTTTCTCTGTTTTGAATATTAATGTTTTGTTTTTTCAAATAGGGTTTTGTTATGCGAAAACATTTTTTTGTTAATGAAGAAAATGGTTATCTTACTAAACAACAAGGTCGACAACAACCTATACGAAATCCAATTACTGGTAATAATAGAAATTATAAAATTATCAATAAAATTAATATTTTAGATCCAACAATGATGACTGAAATGCTTAAAAATAATATATCAAATATGGTTCCTATGATTGTCATCGGTGGTGTTATCAATTGGGCATTTAGTGGTTTTCTTTGTAGTATGTATCTTAAGAGATAATATGAAAAATGAAGGATTTAGAAATGCAGTAGATCTAAATTTTTTTTCTGTTAAGCATGACGATAAACCCTTAATTCTAAATTGTATTCCCAATTAGCGACATGAAAGCATTAATAATCGCTAAGAGAATTTCTATGTAATCGAAACAAACATTTATCCATAATAACAAAGAACCGCCGATATATCACTAATCGACCGACGGCGCTTTGTTACTTAATCTTTTCACCGTCATTCTATTATGGTAAACCGATAATTGTTCTCCTATCGGGAATAGTGTAAACAAATGTGCAAGATGGACAAGTATAGCTCGATGAGAAAAATTCGTAGAACATAAAATCTTGATAAAAAAGTTTCGAACTCGCGAAGAAGTTCGACTGAGACAAAGTTCATTGGATGAGCACTAGTGAATGATAGAAAAGTTTAGGATGGTCTGGTTTTTCGGACATTCGTTCTTGAAATATCGAAATTGCACTGAGTGTTTCAACAAAAAGCTGTGCTTCTCGCAACCAACTTAGAGCTATGCATTAACAACATTCTTGATGAGATTAGTTAATTATACCAGATTTAACTTTTCTAGTATTTCCTATCCTAATTTACAACTCCAGAAAGGTAATATAAATTTCACAATCCACTAATCTAATTGAGAACTTTGTTCGTGCAAAGGTTGAACTCAATTAGGAATACCACAACTTTCTGTTGAAAAATCCAGTAAAACTTCGATATCTCAAAAATGAATGTCCAAAAAAACCAATGTCATTCCAGACTTTTCTATTAATCTCTATAACTAATGAAATGGACATTGTCTCGACCGAACAGTGTTTTTACATCTTCAGAAGTTTCCTCATCAGATAAACTTAAAAACTTTTTACAATATTTGTTTTTAGCTAAAGTGCCTTTTCCATTAACATATCGTTTTAAACCAATGTTACAACGTGGTGTTGAATTGGCAACACTCGATGCTAGTTGGTTAGTAAAAAGACTTTTATCGTATTATTTGAAAAAATAACTGTCATTTTTTCTTCAATTAGGTTATCATCTGTTTCTTGGTATGCTATCAATATCTTTGGTCAACGTGGTATCAATAATTTACTTCTTGGAGAAAATAATGCAGCTGATCAAACAAAAATGATGCAAGATCAAATGAATATGGCCGCTGTATCAATGCCACAAGATTCATCAAAAGCATTTAAAGCAGAACGAGAAGGTTTACTTGTGGTTGATCATCAATGGGCTTTTAGAAATGTTGAAAATGACGTCATATCTCAAAGATCATATTTTCGTTCGCGCTAGTCCATTTTGTCGTTTTGTGTATGTTTCGTGAAAAATAAAATTTTATCAAAAGAATTTTTATTCACTACAGAAAAGTGCAACATTTTCTTGTTTATTTATTAAAAATTCATAATAAGTTAGAATAGATATGTATTATTGTTTTTGTCTTGAAAATTTCTCGTCACTATTGTATGACAAGTTAAGAAAAAGAATATCGATAAACCTTCTTCTTTCCTTATTCACGTGGTTATACAACGATGCTCAACACAAGTAATATGATAAGCTTTTGCTTTAACTAACTTATATTTATCTGTTGAAGATTTAATATCTACTAACAGTAGATTGGTTTTTTAAAAGTTGTAACAAAAACTTTTGACTAACGAAATTTTAAGGACTTTTAGAAATCACCAAGAGAATTAACTATACAAATGTATAAAGGTTTTTAGATCATCAACTGTGAATATATTGTGATTGATATCAAATAAATGAAGATGATTACATTTTGTATGAAAATGATGATAACTTTCAAAGAGAACGCCCATTTTCTATGTTATATCTGTTTATTAGTTACGACATAATTTGTTCTTTACGTTCAGTCAAGTGATATATTGTTCTAGAAATTTCGATTGACACTGCTTTAAACTGTATGTGTATATTTGTTCTAGTACTATTTTTGAGTGAAACTAAAAATAACTTTTTTTGTAATTGAATTCTCTTTGTTTAAACATCATACTATCATAAGTAATAACGATCGTTATTCTTTACAAGCAAAAATATACTCGAAAAATACCTATTTTGCTTGTTTATTCTATTTATTGTTAATAATACCTTGTTATTGATTGGACGAATTTGAACCAATCATCAATTTAACTTAACCACTATGCATTTATATCTAAACACACGTGTTGTTACTCTTCTCTAGAAAAATCTTTTCTTTATGTATGTTTGCGGTTGTTTGCAGTCTACTATCAGTCAACTTGTTATTGTGTCTACAAATAATCCTTTCATAGGATATCTTGCTTTCTTTTTCTTCTTTTGCTTTTTCTCTCTTATTCGTATGTCATTTTCGAAGACACATATAATGTACGAAGAAATAATAATGTTCGAGTATATCGTTCACTCCCTTTTCGTTATATTGTTTGAACCCTCGATTTAACTATGTTTTTCTTTCTTTCTTTCTATCTCTAGCATTTCCATTCGTAAACAAGTTATTTAACGAATTGGTATACATCGAGAGAAACATTCGAAATTTTTTTCTTAAATATATTAACTGGCTATTTTAGTGACAAGTCATCGATCGATAAAAAAAGTATTCAAGAAAGAAAACGATGCACGATCGAAGTGTCTATCTACACGATCGTTTTCTTCTACGACGTACACCAATGCAATTGGATCAACGAAATGTATGTCCACCATGGAGACATACACAAATACCTGTCGAACTTTTCGATCTTATGACGTTAGTTTACATATTAATTAAAATTTTTTAAATATTTATTTATTTTTTGTTTCTTTTTAGTGCACCACCATTTATGTCCGTTCGTCTCTATCGTCTTCATTATGAAATTTTACAATTTTATCAATTTATGATTCCAACTGAAGAAGAACATGCTGTACGACAACAAGTTATTAATCGTATAACTAATGTTATTAATCAATATTTACCTACAGCATCTGTAAGAAAATGAAGAAAAGAAAAAAACAAAAATATTATTTTTATTGTTCATATTAGGTTGATATTTATGGCAGTTATAAAACTGGCTTGTATTTACCGATGAGGTTAAAGCAAAAAAAAAATTTTTTCAAAATGTAATTAAGAATATTTTGTTATTTTTTAGTGATATTGATTTAATTGTTCATTCAAAAGATGGTCGTCAATGGCGACCAGAAGAACTTGAAGCATTAATGTTAGTTTTACGTGAAGCTTTTTGTCGGCATCGTATATGTACACAAGAAGGTATTCAATTATTAAATGGAGCAACAGTACCAATTATTAAATTAACTGATCGACGAACTGATGTTAAAGTAGATATGAGTTTTAATATGAATAATGGTCTTCGAAGTGCTCAACTTATTCTCGTATTTTTGTCTTTTCTTTTAATAATCTGTAGGAAAAGTTGTTTTTTTTCTAGCATTATTTGGAAGTGTATCCATCATTGAAATATCTCGTTTATGTATTAAAACAATATTTACTACAACTTAATCTCAATGAAGTATGGACAGGTGGTATTAGTAGTTATTCACTTATTCTTATGTTGGTGTGTTTTTTCCAGGTAAACCATTAAACAAAAATCATAAACTACTATAAAAGCTATTTGAAGCACAACGTGACATACTCACTTTCTGCTTGACTTTAATTCTTGACAAGGGTTATTTTTCTAAATAATGTCTAATCATATGAGAAAAAATCTCACAACTTCAAAATAGGCTATATGGTATGACTTGCACCTTTGATAAAGTTTTCAGCCCGGTCTTACTATCATCTAGAGATTCTGAAGAAGAATTTACACCAGTTGGCATTAGTTTTTGAACTTCTCATTCAGTTTTAAAAGCATTTTTTTCGTCCTCTGTCACAGCATTAACAAAAAGTAAATTGATTTTTTTGAAAAAACTGTTAGCACAATGTCTGAAAGATTAAAATGCGAACACGATATAGCTGCTTTTGTTAATCATAAGACGACTGCTCGATTCTATCTATTGTCAGACACATGTTTGCACGATATTCCTAGTCCTCTAGAAATCCAATAAGGAATTAGTTCGTATATTAGAACGAGACATTATCAATATATAATCTTTGATCGAGTATCAGCAATGTCTTGTGTGCTCTGTAGGAAAGGAAGAGTGGATACAAATGATTCTTCTATATACTTCAATACTCTTTTCAGATTGTGCATCACAAAATTTGTGACATGGTCAGAAAAAATGTTGAATAGAAATCTTTTAGCTTCAAATATTGTCTACAGGATGTATGATTTAGTGTTGCCTCAATTCAGTCACTATGGCTGAGTGACTACGCAGTTCAACACATATCTATAAAGCACTATATTCCAACCTTGGTAGTATCAGTTGTGAGATGACCCTTGACAAGTCACTATCGGCTCTTTGTTTCGGATCATCCATCCGATAGCATGATGACTACGATATGATATGTTCTTACTCTTGTAGCTATTATTAAGTGTAGAAAAGATATCGACCGCTAGGCAGTACTCCTTAGTGCAAGATAGCCGGAAGGCAGAAATATTCTTCTTTCTTTGATTTAACGCAGTTTTTACTGATAAATCTTGTGCGCAAAGTTTTTCAGGATATTTAGAAGTAACTTAACATCCAAATTTTTATTTTGTGAAGTCCCATTGCTAATGATTAAATTGCATTTTTTTTTTCAATAGACTTATTATAAAAAAGATCAACATTCATTTTGGTCATCATCATTATCATCTTCATTTCTATCTGGATTATCAACATCATCATCAGCAACAATTAAAACAGCATCATCGTCATCATTAAAAAATGGAAATCCAATTAGTACAACAGATGATTGTTCATCTTCAACATCATATCCATCATCATCAGCTGCTTCATGTATATCATCAGATGATAATAATAGTTGTAGTAACAATAACAGTGATCTTGATGATGATCATTTCAATAATGGTATTAGTGGTGGTAGTAATAGTAGTAGTAACAGTTGTACAACAAGTAGTAATAATAGTACGATTGAACATGCCAATCTTGGTCATATGCTTATTAGTTTTCTTGAATTATATGGTGTCTATTTTAATTATGCTAAATTGGGCATTCGTGTACAAACACCACATCAGCCTGATCGTCCAGCCGGTTTTATAGATAAAGAAGAATTATTTAAAAATTTTTGTTGTGGACATCGTACAATTAGTAATTTATGTATTGTTGATCCATTTAATGATAGTATGTGAAAGAAACAAAAAAAAACCTTCATTTTTTTTAATAATATATGTTTTCCAATCTTTAGAAAATGATATTAGTAAAGCTTCATGGTTAACACCAAAACTTAATTCAGCATTTCGTGAAGCATTTGATAAATTATTACAAAGTGTGTCTGATCAAAATACAACATTAAAGAATGCACCTTCGTAAATAATATTAAAAAAAATTGAATATCATATCATTTTTTATTCATGTATGTTAATATATTATTTTAGTATACTTTCAAAAATTCTTACTGTCAGTGAAAGTACATTGATCTATCGAAGACGACTACGGTCTATTTATCGTGATCATCAAAATGAACAACGACCAGCTCGACAAGTTCAACATAGTCGATTGAAGTATGTAGATTTATTTGATGAAGCATTCATATGAAGAGGAAGAAAAGATTTAAAATCTTTCATTCTTTTCTTTTTTTACTTAAATAATGTTTTATCCATTTTTATCGAACTCTTAAACTAACAAGAGTTAATAGGACTTTTTCAAGAGTACTATGTGACATACATAACGCAATACCAATACCGCATTTGTATTATGACATGTCAACCAAAAATCGACCATTGCTTTTTCTGTACAAAATTGTGCATTCAAAATTATAACTATGTTTTAGAGATGTAAAGGATCATTAGAGGTACACAAACGCTCGGTCGAAAACATTTTTGGAAATTATTGAATTTCGGATAGATTTTCGAGGAAATTTTTCATTTTTACAGCAGGTTGTTTCCTAGTTTAAACTGTACATCTCTAACGTGATACTATTGTGCTATTTATCGCTTTTAGAATCTTCCAACCAGTGTAGAATTAAAAGAAAAATGTGATGAACACTTTCTCCTAAGAACTTCTTTAGGCTTGTTATGAAACTAAAAAAAGTTTTCGTACTCATGTATGGAAATTGAAAAGAATTTCGAATTTGCTGCAATTCTCAGAACGCGTTTTTTTGCAAATGACGTCAGAAGGCTTCACAAGACAGGGTGGAGATTAGCCAATTTTTCTCAATCAGAGAACAAAAACAGTTTACTCTGCATGTCTCCATTATGTGCAATTGATTTTGAAGAAGTTGATCATGTACATCAAATTTTAGTTATGGTCCAATGGATAAACCATTGATACAATATCCAAATGGAAATTCACTAAAATATCCCTATCAAATACAATTTCAACAACAATTATATGCATCACATAGTTTATTTCATCGACCTCAATCACAACGGACGAATCATCAAAGGTAAAATATTCTGTTTGTTTTTTATATATTCTAATTAAAATAATAATTTTCTTTTTGTAGATCTGTCGATGATGATCATCGAAATGCTCAAGACTAGGAAAAACGGTGTCAATAAAAGAACTGTAACAATATAAATGATGGTGATGATATAACCCAGTCAAATATATCTTGTTGATGTTATCGGTTCCCTTTAATTTCTATTTATTTTTTTTCTCATCTTCTCATACATATCTATTGCTTATTCATCTTCTTTTGTTCTCGGCTCAGCAACGCGTACCACTCATGTCTTTCTTTCTTCTTATTCAGTTTCTTTTTCTTCTTTTGTCTTTTTTTTCTTTATGCCAAAAAAAAAAAAACACTCTTGATCTATTCATACAGCTAACTAGAAAAAAAAAACAAAAAAAAAAAAAATCGAAAAAATTTTTTAAAAAAATTTAAACCAAAAAAAGATTAAAAAAGACCTTTTTTTGTAAACACGTATAAAAAATATCAGTAATTTCTTTTTTGCGTGCGCGCGCCTTCTTTTGTTCTTCAACTCTTTCTTCCTTTATTTTAGTGCTTTTTCAGTGAACCTACGAAGATGGAAACATCCTATTCCATTACTCCTAGAGCCTTATTTCATATGTTTGATTTTTTTCTACTCGACCCTGTGTGCAATATATACATATATTGGTTCTAGATTTCTTGACAGTTCGACTTGTTCTTGTCTCTCACTCTTATGTACATATATTGGCATTCATATGCCTCTCTTTTTCTATTTTTTTGTGTGCGTGCGTGTGTTCATTTTTTTTTCTTCTCTTTTCGTTCATTGTTGCTTGTTTGGCTCTTTCTCATATGATTGCGAACTATTCTATTCTGAAAAACAAAAACACAAAAAAAAAGATTTTGTTGTTCTTTTTTTTCTTCTTGTGCTAACTTTATCTATATGTGTAACTTTTTCTATTCTGTTCGAATCAGCCCGAGAAAAAAAAACGTATCCATGTAGAATTAGACAGATATACCTATATGTGTGATGGATGCATTTTCGGAATAAAACCGACCCATTGCGAATGTTGGCTTCAGTTATAAGACTGACCAACGGAAAAATATATCTATTTTTCAATTTTGATTGATTCAATTGATATACACAGATAATGAATAATAACAATAGATGTAACTTATTTTTACTTTAGAAATATATATATATATATACATAGATGTCTTCATCGGAAGCAAATAATAGTAATAATAATACTACTAATAATAATGAAGAGACCAAAACAACAATTTATTCAATGCTTACAGATCAGCCTATAACAATTCCTGATTCTTGTCTTTTTGGTGCTTGTAGGTAAGACATTAGTCATGTTTGAAATTTATCTATGATTTATTAGAGTTAAGACAAGATGTTCAAACAATATGAATTGAAGTTAACCTAAGATAGTCATCGCAACGCAGTGACTTATATAAAAAGTTGTATTTGCGGTAATGACAGCTCTGCCACAGGTATCTCTGAATTACATACATAGAATAATGGATTGTGCAAAAGTTGCGCATTGATTTTGTTTTCAGTACAGTGTGATAGTCACTCATCGTGGATATTGGATAGTTTTCTTGCTAGCAAGAGCAATGTCATTACTAGAAAACCGTGTAAAAATATTTCTTTCAAAAACTTATCGAAAACTCAGAAGTTTAATAAAAGGTTTGGTTGGAAAAGTACTCTGCAATATTAGTGATGAGAAGTAAATTTGATTGATTTGTCTTGTACTCCACTTACGAAACTTTTAGGTATATTATGTATGAGTATAACCATAGTGGTACAGGTTTTCCAGTGGCATCAAAATTTTCGAGTTACAAAACTGCAGGTTCCATAGAATGTAATCTTATTAAAAGCTTGAATTCTTTCTGTGACATATAATCAAGTTCTTCTCATGATGTCTAATATTCTGTTTTATATAATGTGCTTTTGTCAACGGCTCATTAAGTTCTAATTGGACATAAAATATGAAAAGAAAAGAAGGAAGGAAGAAGATCTCTTTCTTTCAACTACCTTGTGATGTAGGGTGCTGCCCGATAACCTTCCCTATAACTAATCATAACTGCAGTTGTTGGCAGAGAATCGCCCTGAAGCAGAGTTCTTACGCTCAATCGCTTGAGCTCCTCATACACATTGTCTAACCACAAGCGGAGGAATATGTCACTACGAAGTCAGTAAGCTATCGGACAGATGATCCAAGACAAATAGACGCTAGTGACTTGTCCAGAGTCATTCTATGGCTGTTCGTAGCATGGTTTGAATGCCGGCTAAAATATGGAGTTTTATCCAGAGTGAAAAAGCGACACTTCGGTATTCCGAAGCACGAGTGAGGTATTGTACTTTATTGATATTTCACTCGTACTTCGATGTATCAAAGTCTCGCTTTTTCTCCCTTGAATTTTACTAACTTCGATTATTGAATAAATCTCTTGTTTTTCGAAATAATTTATTAGTTATAAGCACTTTGCTAGCAAAAGGAGTTCTGTCAATGTCGATTTCGAGAGCAATCGATAACTTGAAAATTTTACTTTTACCTTTTAACAATTTTCTACCATAAGCACTACAAAATTCGTTAAAAAATGGTGAATGAGCCTTCTATTATGCCTTATGATATACGACGGCTATTTATTCAGAGAGGAGGAATGGTAGTCGAGAGGCAACCAACAGAGATCTCAGTCATAGAATCCAAAAGTTACTTGAAAATTTGAAGTCTCTATGTTTAAAGTTTACTGATTCTGCCTCGGAGTTATTTTGATGGATATAAATTATTTTTGCGTATAATTTTATCCCAAGCCATAACTGTTACTTGATTTGAACCGCTTAGTATGCATTGTTTTTTTCGAAAAGTGAATTTCTTAATTCTGTTTAGACCGGTTTCTGATTTTGAAAAATTAAATTGTATTGGTAAAGGTACATATGGTGTAGTTTATCGTGGCCGAGATAAGATTAGTCAAGAAATTGTTGCATTAAAAAAAGTTCGGATGGAAAATGAACAATGGGGTTTACCAATAAGTTCAATGCGTGAAATAAATCTTTTACTTAATTTACGTCATGAAAATATTGTTGAATTACGTGAAATAGCTGTTGGCAAATCATTACGTTCAATATTTCTTGTTATGACATATTGTGAACAAGATCTTGCATCTTTACTTGATCATATGTCACAACCATTTACTGAAGCACAAGTTAAATGTATTGCATTACAATTATTTCGGGGTTTAAATTATATACATAAACGTTTTATTGTACATCGTGATATTAAAGTGTCAAATTTATTATTAACTGATTGTGGTTGTTTAAAAATTGCTGATTTTGGTTTAGCAAGACAATTTACATTACCAAATGGTACAATGACACCGATGGTTGTTACACTTTGGTATCGAGCACCTGAACTTCTTTTTGGTATGATGATATATATTTTTATTAAAAATAACTATTAATATCTGTTTATGTTAGGTTCTAAATATCAAACTACAGCTATTGATATTTGGTCAGCAGGTTGTGTTCTTGGTGAATTATTATGTCATCGACCATTATTACCAGGTCGTTCAGAAATTCAACAAATTGATTTAATTATTGATATGTTTGGTACACCAACAGAAAAAATTTGGCCCGGTTTAAATGATTTACCTTCATTAAAAAATTTTTCTTTACGTCAACAACCATATAATAATGTTAAACAAACATTTCCATGGTTATCTAATGCTGGTTTACGTCTCATTAATTTTATGTTTATGTATGATCCGAGTAAAAGGTGAGAAACTTTTTGAAATTAATGGTTTTTAAGATATATATATATATGGATCAGAGCTCTAAAGCAAGCTGTTAACGACGAAATTTCTTCTGCTATCTCCTTTCGATTCCAATGATTTATTTGTCTCTAGATACTATATAGTGTTCTGATACAAGCCCTAGAAAAAGTTGGATTCGTATAAAGATTTAGCGAAGATATCGAATTCTTTTCGGGAAGTCTCGAGTTTTCGGAGAACTCATCTATACTAGCTATCATGAAAGAATTTACAGGTTTTGAACAGTCTCTTCGACATATGAGACTTTCAAGATATATATACTCTTTTCGACAGATAGTAAATATAACATGCAGTTTTTGACAGCTTTATATCTCGAAGAGAATTAGTTCCAAACTTGTGACTTTTTTTAAGGAAGTTAGCTTGGTTGAGTTGTCTATATGCACACAGCTTCAGATCAAAATTCGATAGCTTAGTCAAATATCAAAAGGAACCCAAATCTATTTGGGATTTTGATTAGATCACTGTGTAGTATCTAAAGGTAAAAAAAAATCATTGAAATAGATAGGGGACATCTGAAGAAGCTTCCTCATAAGTCTGCCTCCCTGAAAAGGGGAAACGACCTGACCTATGTATTTTTGTAAAACACGATGCACACGGAATGTTGAAGTCTATAGGGTAGAAATTTGCACCCATTTTCTTTACAGACTGTGGTAGACATTGTTGCTGTGTGATTAAAGATCGTATCTCAAAAGCATCTCATTATAAAATAGAACCGCTTCTTTATACTATTCCTAGAAGGGCAAGTAAATGAATGATGAAGAAATATGTTCCATAATAGATAGAAGAAAACAATATTCTTATGATTAGCAAGAGCAGCTCCATCGTGTTGCACATGAATACCTTAGGGATAATACTAACGACTTTTTTTTCTGATATCATAGTTTTATCTCATATATTGAACAGATTGCTGACAAACAGATACAGTTAAGACAATTTTCAAGGGTATTTAAATATGACCAATCAAACAAATATGTGAGAATGTTTATTGAAATTGAACTCAATCAAATTAGCTGAGATTCAACTGTCTTTTTCTACTACAATTTTAACAGTTAATGAAAGTCTTTCTTCTCATGATCGTAAAATGATGAGTGGCATTTTCATCTGTTAGATTCCATCAAAATATTCTTAAACAAAAGGCAGATTGTCTTTTTTTTCAATATTACTATCTTTTTCTATTTCTTCATTATCTATTTATCACTACTATTCAATTCATAGTTATTTTCAAGTTTACTGTGCATTCATCTAAACTGCCAGACCTGCAAAAAACTAACTAGCTCGAACTTTTGATATGAATTTCTATGTATTTTTTTAGAGCCACTGCTGAAGATTGTTTAAGAAGTTCATATTTTAAAGAAGCACCATTACCTTGTGAAAATGATCTAATGCCTTCATTTCCTCAACATCGAAATCAGAAATCATCTTCGTCGAATCAGCATCGACCAGCATTACCAGCACGATTATCTTCTTCATCAAACGAACCTAATTCTCTTGTAAATGATAATCGTAAAAGACAAAATCTACCACCGCTTCGTGTCGGTTGTACCAATGTGAAACGAATTCGAAAATCTTAATAAAAAAAAATATTTTTTAGAATATGTTTTTCTCTCTGCTTATTGTAAAAAATTCCATCATTGTAGATGGCTACTCAAACACAATCGACTCAACTTGCCAAGTTATTACGTGCCTTAGCATGTTCAGGTATACAAAAAATTTCTTAAAACTTTTTTATACTTATTTCTTATTAAACGAAGGTGTTATTCTCGGTCCATATATCTATACAATGGCTCGACCAGAAGAAACCTTAAAATATAGATTTATAAGATCAACAAATGAAAATGGAGAATTTGTTAAAGTTGATTCATCATATAATCGATTTGCAACTGAAGTAAATTAATATTTTCTTTTTTTATTTTATAATTATTTCTATATCGTTGATTAGATTGCATATCGAATGCGGCTACCTGAACAATTACGTCGTACACCTACATTTGATATTCGTTTATCTGTACATACAGGAACAGATTTTGATATAAATGGTCATTTTACACCATTATTTAATGGTATTGTCTATTTAATGGTTCCACAATGGGCTAATATATCATCAATTGATGATTTAAAAAAAATTAAAATGAATATAGCTGGTCAAGAAATAGATTTTTCTAATCTTGATTTATCGCGTATTGATCAGAGTAAATTAAAATTTCAATTTAATAAAAATGAACAATCAAAAAAAGAACCAGAAGAAATTACTCAAACATCGAATGAATCAAAATCTTGGTTCAGTCGATGGTTTAGCAGTACACCCACGCCAGCACCACCACCATCATCATCACCATCATCACCACCATCACTACCTCCGTCAATACCAACTGAACCAATAACACGTAATTTTTTCTTATCATAAAAGAAATTTTTGATTCATGTTTGTAATTTAGGTGAAACATTATTAGTACAAAAACTAATTGAAACATTTTTTCTTTCGGATGAAGCAAAAAAATATATAATTGCTGATCAATTTGAAATAGCATTAGGTCCATGGCATATGTTAGCATGGTGTTGTGTTGGTGGTTCATTTTTTCTTCCATTTACACTTTATACACGTCTTCGTCTTCAATTTCAAACACGTTTTAAACGTTTTCTTTTTTTTCATTTTCTTCTTTTAAATGGTCTTTTATGTTTTTATTTATCACCATTTGTTGGTCGTCTTATTAATATGCAAGTTAGTCGTATACGTGATTCAGTAACAACATCATATGGATTAGATTTACTTGAAGGTGGTATTGAATATTTACAAAAACAACTTGAAAGAAATCGTGTTTTACGTGAATTATTACCAAATGGAAAAGATCTTTTTGATCAAGATGGTGAACGAAGAAAAACACGTGTTAGAATACCAAATAGTGGTGAATTATCATTTTCATTATATCATTGGAGTCCATTGATTACATATAGACTTAAAAGATTAAGAGCTAAATTGGATACATTAATGAATGTACCAGAAGCTGAAGCACGAAAAACAATATTTAAACCAGTAGTAGAAAGTCAAATTGTAGAAAAACCTTCCCCATTAAGATAGAATGTTTGTTTCAATGTACTTTTCATTGTTATTAAAACAATAAATAAATAAAACCAAAAAAAAAACAATAATGAATTTGTCAAATCGAAAATAATTATGGTTTTCATGGAAAAGAAACTTTAGAAGACTTACATTAGTTTTCAATTTATCAGATAATATCATTACGTACTATAGTCCTTGATAACAAACCTCTCAAATCAATTTTTATTATGAATATTACTAAAACATAACCTAAATAATCTATTTTGATTGAATGCATAATAGATAAAAAAATAGAGTAGTTTTATGACAATACACTGCTGAATAACTTGCCAAAATCAAATTAAAAGTTTCATATTCACTGGAAGCTATTTTAGTATTCAATATACCTGATTAGATTACTAATAAAGGGTTCAGATCATGTGTCAAAAGTGTTAGAAAAGCTCGAGTTAGAATCAATAGAACATGAATAATTATTGCCAAATCAATTAACATAAAATTATGAAATATCTAGGTCTATAGTTCTGCTGATTACCTTAGAATTTTGAAGTGTTTGAAAATCATAGTTCTAGTTATCGTTTTCTTTGAAGACTCATTTTTCATATTAAATTTACTACTGTATATTAAAATAATCATTCATGAATGTTGAATTTCAATAGACCGAAGAAGCATAATTCTGTAAACAGCTGAACAATGAAGACTTAATTAATAATTCACTATTCTGACAAACTACAGAAAATAGAGAAGTGTAATAAAAGAAGATCATAGAATAAAACTAAGATGTTCCGAGAGGATAGCCCATGCATATTGAAAGATTTTGGTTTCGTTTGCTCATCGATTCAACTTTAGCAAAAATCTTCCAATGGGCTTCCTGTTACATCGTTTCTAATCCTGGTGACTCTGGGAAATTCTCGACTACAATTTCATCAAGTTTGTAGTTCTTATATATTCTCATTTCAACTTTATCTCTAATGATTTCATTTGTTTTTTATTATCTATTCAAAAACTTCAATGAATACTGAAAACTTCTTGAGATTGGAATTATTTATCAATATCTTACTAATATATTTATTTAATCACATTTATAGCGCCATCTACTCAGAAAAATATCTTGCCATTCCTACATTGGTAAAAAGAAACATATGACTGATTAAGTTTAGTTAGTACAACAAGACACACAAAAGAGGAAAATAAAAAGAACTGTTTAATATTATTGATTATCTTTTATTCTTATGCAGATGTTTTGCTTGTTGTTGTTTTTTTTTAGATGAATTATTTTTCTAATACTAATGTTGTCTTTGATAAATGATCTTCTCTAATATCAAATGATTCGATGAACAGAGTTTCAGTTTGGCAAGAATTCAATGCATGGTAAACATATTATTATTTGTTTTGCTTTTTTCTGAAATAATTGTTTTTTTTTTGTTTTGCTTTTAGCCAATTTCTTGTTTCATTTTGTTTACTAATCTTTAGCATTCTTTATGCTTTTCGTGAACAATTATTTATTTCTTGGCCATATTGGTTGGTTTTTTTACCATTATTTATTTGGAAAAGTCTGGCAATCGTAGGAGCTATTATTGGTATTTGTACTTATTGTTGTATTCGATCGAGAAAGTAAATTAATGGACAAAAGAAACAAAAGAAGTTTTGTATTTTTATTTTTTTTGATAATTTTAGTCGCGAACGTAATTCACCAATTCAATGTCGAGCATTATTTTTTAATTTAATTGAAACAATTCTTTTACTATTTTTTGAAATCTTAGTATGTTATAATCTTGATCAACCACAAGGTTCTGAATATCGTTTAACATGGATTATTTGTTTTTTACCATTAATTATTCTTTCAATTATATCCGTATTCACATATGTTTGGTTATTACGTCATGGTCGATCTTGGGAGGTAAAAAATACAGAAGAGAAAGATGAATTTTCTTAAATATTTTTGTTTTATTTTTTAATTTAAAGATTCAAGCATTATTTGTTGTTAATATTCTACAATTTATTTTTTTTGCTCTTAAATTAGATAATAGTATTATTACATGGAACTATGCGGTTTGTTTTTTATTTAATAAAAAGGTTAATTGTGTTGTTATTTTTTTTAGGCAGTGTTTATTCCACTATGGATTGTAATGGGTATATCAATTATTTTTTGTGTTGGCCGTCTCATATGGACATTTGTACATTATCATCGAAATGATATCACCCATGTTTCAAATGGACAACAAAGAGTAAATCGGCGATTTTGTCATATTTTAGCAAGCCCAACTGTTGGACATATATATGTACTTTTATTTTTACTTATTTTCCAAGTAAAATCTTTTCGTTTTCATTATATAAAATTTTAATAAAAATATTTTTTTATTTAGATTCTTTTAGTCTTCTACTTAGAACACCTTTTTGATCTTTCATTTATTGTTGTTTGTGTACCATTGTATTTTGCATTAATAATACTCATTTATATGTCATTTGGAAGTCGAGTACCAGCTAATCATTGTAAGAAAAGTTGTTTTTGTTTTTTTTCTTGAACTAATTCTTTTTTTATTTTAAAGGGTGGTTTGGCCTACGACAAGATGCATGCGAGTGGCTTTTACATTTATGTCCGATATTTGAAACCTACGCTAATATTGAATATAATTTTACTACATCAAATTCTCCAACAGTATCATTGCATAATGTTGATTCAATAAGAGTAAATTCACCAGTAATACCAAATGTACAATCGAATGAAAACCTCGAATCATCTCGTCGTCATCATAGACATTCACGTCGATTTTTTTTCCGTAAAGCTTCATCTTCATTATATGATCAAACTAAAAATGATCATATTGAAAATGAACTATTAACAACAGTAATATTACCTTCATCGAATATTTTAAAATTGCATGAACCTGATTAATAAATAAATAAATAACTATATATATATATATATTGATCGTCCATAAAAAAAAATTAATATTTATAAAACGTTGTTTTTATTTTAGATAAATCTATGATGGATGGACACCTCGCGGTATATACAGTCGTGTAATCCAGCGTAAGAAAATTCTCTTTTTTTTTTGTTTTTTATTCAAAAATTATTCTTTTTTGAAAATTTAGACGTTTTGTTGTTACTTTTTCTCTATTAATCTTTTCAATTTTATTTGCCTTACAACTTGATGGATATATCAAAATTAGTTATTGGCTTATTTTCTTGCCATTATTTATATGGAAAATGCTTGTGGTCTTTGGTGCCTGTACAGGCGTCTTTTTCTGGTGTAAAAATGGTGAAAGAAATAGGTAAACATCGACGGAAGACACATAAATACCAGTTTTGGTCAACTTCATTTTTTTTTCAAAAGGAATATAGAACTGATCATGTTATGTAGTGCTTACACTGGCAAATTTAATCATGTATAACTGTTACTTTACTCATAGGTTGATCAATATAGCACGATTTGAGCTGTATTTTGGTACAAAAATATTATATATAGTAAAACCTCTCTATTGTGACTACCATCGGAACCCTTCTAAAGTATT